TTTAGTTAGATTCCCACTCCTGATTATTTTTAATTTTTTACGGTCGATTTAGTATTGATTTTGAAAAAAAATTTGAAAATTATTATAGAAAAATATTTTTTTTAAATGTAATTTAAAATTTAACTATTTAGATTATTGTTAATTGATTTTGAAAAGATAAAATGTCCTTTTTAGATATTATGTTATAAATTAAAATTAAATAATTCAATATAAAAATATAATTTCATCCTCGAAGTGACTTTTCACACCAAAAGTTAGAAATTTAAACTTTTGAGGTTATATTAAAAATTATTTTTTTAATCATAATTTTTTTTGAATTAATCATTAGTATATTATCTATTAATTAACACATTTTTCCTCATTCACAAACGTCAGGGTTTAAACTCTTAACCTTACTTAAAAAATCTAGTGTCTCATCCCACTAGTCCAACTAATTGTTAATTTTTTAACTATAATTTTAAATCAATTTTTAGTGTTTAACATTTATCTATTGATTAATACAGTTTTCCTCATTCACAAACGTCAGGGTTTAAACACTTGACCTTACTTAAAAAATCTAGTATCTCTTCCTACTATACCAACTAATTGTTAATTTTTTAACTATAATTTTAAATCAATTTTTTAGTGTTTAACGTTATTTATAGGGTGGAAAATCATTTTTCCAATAAACATCTCCATTAACTCTTCTTATAGAAAGATATCCTTGGTTAGTTAGTTTTTTTTAATAAATCTGAGAATTCATTAGATGCAATAGCATCAAGAATTACATCATTTTTTACACATTTCAGTTCATCATAAAAAAATCATACAATATTGGCTCTTGGCGGATCCCATTGAGCAAGAGTATGCGGAATCCGATTCGCCTTGCGGTTGACGTATCGAACTTTGATGTTAGGTGCCTCGACCACAGAAGAAACGTGCCTCGTCGAGCAACAATTCAATAACCGAGATGTATTCATGATGATTTTTCAATCGATTCATAATTGAGATAGCATCCCCTTCAATTATCCCTTGTTCCAAATCGTTCTCAATTGTCATGAGGATGCCTTCCTTGAAGGCAATTGCCTCAGTCGATCTGCCGTATGTGCATTATCCAGTCTTCGTGCCATTCTGCCAACCACCATCCTAATGATCGCAGGCCACAAGACCAATGGCCGTGGCACGGATGCTAGCGATGAAGGCACCGTCAACGTTGATTTTGATCTTATTTTTCGTCGGCTTGCTCCACTTTTTGTTCCGATTCCAGCTTGCCATTGAGGGTGCAATAGTCGTGATACCCAATGCCTCTTTGTAATAATTTCTTAGCATTAAAGTTTTGTTAACCACCTCATAATCCCTCTGCAACTCTTTATCACGAGTCCATTTGTTTCGGCAATTCCAAATGTTCCAAAGAAGCCCCACGAACTGAGCAAAACCTTCTCTATCCAGACTCGTTGCAGTGTCTTCAAACCATTCCTTGCAGGTTGAGGTCCTTGAGTTAATGATTGCTTGGCCTAAACCAGAGAGCATCAGAAAATCTTGTGCCAGCTGGTAGTACCTAAGAGCATGTACCACCGTTTCGACCCCTTGCTGGCACATTGGACACAAACTATTGCCAATTCCAGCGATCGCTAATTTAGCCCAATAGGCCGTGCTTCTTGGCAGACCCTCCACCCAAAGATTTTAATTTTCGAGAGTGTGAATCTTTAGAAAGGATCTCCAAATCGTTGAGCGATCGCGTCCTGTTCCAGAAGCCATGTAAAGCCAATTGTACCCGGACTTTGTTGAGTAACAGCTCGTGTTATGATACTCCCAAATGAGATGGTCCCTTTCAATAGGGGAGATCTCAGTTTTAAGAATAGCTGCAGCGTCTTGAACTTGGAAAGTTCATTTGACCTTGTAACTATCCCATCTCAGAACGTTTTGGATCGTGAATTTTTTGCACAAAAGGAGCTGCTCTTCGTTATCAACATAGTTGCAAGAGACATGAACTTGTTTCAATCCTCCCCATCGGTCAAAGTGTACCCGAGTATTGCTATTATATCCGACTCTCCAGAAGAAACCGTCCTGTAGTGCCTCCTTAGATTGATAGATAATAGACCAAGCGAAAGAAGCCATGTTCCCTAGCTTGGCATCTATAAAAGAGTCGGTCGGGTGAAGATTTTGAATAAAAGGGATCTCGGTTTATGCAAAAACCACCACACTCGTTTCCCAAGCAAAGCAATTTCGAAGAGTTTGAGGTCTCGAAACCCCATACCACCATCTCTTTTAATTCTACAAACTTTATTCCAAGCAACTAGCGCCGAACCCCTTACTACACTAAGTGAAAATTTATATTAGGTTATTTCAAATGATCAGTGATTTCATTTGAAAGCACAAACTCCAAACATCCATGAGTTCTTTATGAAAGAATTTCAGTAATATCGAATCGTAAGAGAAAGATTTAACCAAAAAAGGGAGAAATAAAAAGGTTGTATTTTTATTATTAATTATGCCACATGGTAAACTTTGTGAAAGAGCTTTTTAGTCCAAAATTCCGTTTGAAATGTAGAAACATTCCCAAATAATTTATTTTTAACTAAAAAATTACGTTTGAAAAATTATTATTGACTCAAAACAAGAAGCTAAAAAAACAATACTTTTACATTAAAAAAACTTGTTTGAAAAAACATTCTCAATCAAAGCGTAATCTTTCTTAATTCAATTTTGTTCTTCATGCTTAAACCAAACATGTAGGTCTTAATAGAAGTAGGCCTATAAATGAATTGAATATTCAGTGAACTGTTCGCGAACCGTTTGACAGGAAGTTCGTTTTATTTATTAAACGAATGAATATAAACAAGATTTTTTGTTCGTTTAATTAAATGAACAAACAAGAACAAAATACTCGTTCATTCATTTACGTTCGTGTACGATAATCCATTCGTTTATATTCGTTCGTTTATGTTCATTAATCCATTCTTTATGTTATTCTCGTTTGTTCAATTAAAGTTAAACAAATGAGCATAAGCATGCTCTTATTCGAATTTGTTCAGTTCGTTTACATGCTCAAATAGAAGCGAAAAGAAAAACTTCTAACGGAAGGGAGGACTCACAACCAACATAGAGACTATTAGAACAAAAGATGATTAACTAAGTTCAGTTAGCTGCATTTACATTATATTATTATATATTATATTATATTATATTACATTTTGAAACGGGAGACTTTTCCAAATGATATATAAACACCAACTTACACTAACAAACAACAGCAAGCACAATGGTTTTGTCTATAACATTACAACTCATTAGTGCAGGGAACACCAATCCATAAGAGAGTCCGTTGGGGCCTATCCAGAAATCTAGCTTGCCAAGCCGGCTCATCGTTTTCATGAATAAAACCACTTTTCAAGTACAGATTCTTCGCAGGCTTGTTGTCGACGGCAACGTGTACGTATAGATCGGTTATGCCTGAAATAGTACAACAAACAGCATTTAAATATCTCATATTTCGAATAAGTTCTGCGCACACACGTGTGTATATACCTACCGATGAGCTGAATGCTCTAGTGCAAGTCTATAAAACATTGTCCCTTACTAATACACAAGACAACATGGTTTGCATCATATTTAGAAAATGTTTGTAGCATTACTACATGAATCCTTTATTTGAAGAAAATGCATGCTACTGCTCTAGTCTAGCATACATCTCCATAGAAGCCAAAACAGTCACAAACTATATCATTGCTTCCTTTCAGTTTCCTCAGAAGAACTATGATAAACATAAATAATATGTAGAATATTATTCAGAGAGACCCTTAATTTTCTTTTTCTCATCGACAAAAGAGGTCAGACAAGGCATAGTCCTAAAGAGAATACCTTACAGACAGTCGACCCATTTATATATAGGTAAACTACACGTTTAGTACTGAACTATTACTTTTATTCCATATTGGTACCAAAACTTTATTTTTTTTTTCAAAACCATGTCTAACGTTTAGTTTAGGTTCAATTTGGTAACCCGTCATTCAAAAATTAACAGAACTGCTGACATGACATTTTTTTTATTTTTTATTTCAATGACGATGTGACATTACCTTATGGTAAGACGTCAACATCAACGTTAAGATTTTAACGGTGGGTACCAAAATGAAACCTAAACTAAACTTTAGGTGTGGTTTTGAAAAAAATAAAGCTTTGGTACCAAAACGGAACAAATGTAAAAGTTTAGGCAACGTGTAGTTTACCCTTTATATATTTAACGGGCTAAATCTCTAAATGACTGCACCAAATAGCCCAACCTGGTGCTGCATTTAGCTTCTACCATCCGATGCAAAAATTCATAATTTCGATTTTCAGTTAGCAACAAACTGTCCAGGACTATTGTTTTATTAAAATGGGATGATTATGAAAGGGCAGAACATCATAAAAGATGAATGCATTTGTTACCCCTTTCTTCGGCAACTCTCTTTGATTTAGTGACAATGTCATAACCTAAGCCATTTCTGTGCAGTTCCCTAGCTACACATACGTTGCTCAGGTATGCTCTTCCATATTCAGCATCAATCCCCTGTCAAACAAGGCTCAAAATAGAGATCAATTTATACTAAAGCAATCATTTCGATGCTAGAACCTATATATCAAATATTTTAGCATGATAAACTTGATCCATGTTATTTCTAATATATATTATGAACAAAGTCCCTAGAACTAATAGGTTGTTATGATTGGGTAATTTTCATTTCCATTTAGTTTAAGCGGATTGATGATTCTATATTAACAAACATCCATTAGTGATTCTCGGCCTACATTACTCGGTCTTTGCGGCGAATGTTGAAAAATAGTATGTGTCTAAATGAGTTAGTTCAATTTTTCTATGTTTTTTTTTTGATAAGTAAATTATATTTCATCCAAAGAAACAGCTTAGCTGCTACAAACAACCTGTCTCAAACTAGATCAGGTCCCAATTTGTGTACAAGTATCTATTGCCATCATCTACTCTGTATACTCATGCTATACATTTTGGTTTTCACCGCCTCCTTAATTCTATTTACAATTACCTCACTAGTGCTTGAAAGGCCTCGGAACTGCCTGTGGTTATGTTCTTCCCAAATATGATAAAGGAACCCGGTCCAAGCAAGCTTAAGGATCCGACTGCGAAGGGTTTTGCCCTTCAAGTTCTCGATCAACCAATTAAGGCACTGATCCCAGCTGAAAGCCACATAACGAATCCCACACAGCCGTAGAACAGCACTCCAAACATCCTTAGAATAAGGGCAGTCTACAAATAGGTGATCACATGATTCCCTGCCAGAACCACATACCATACACACATCATCAATATCCAAGCCAAAACGAACAAGCCTGTCCTTAGTTGGCAGCCTATCGAGGGTAACCATCCACGCAATAAGAGAAAATTTAGGAATATGAGAAGAGAACCAAATAATATTGTGCCAGCTCACCTTCTCTCTGCTTATTCGAATACTATCCCATATCCATTTACCATTGATTTGGCTCAAAACAGTACTAGGAACAAATAATCTCCTCGAATCGTCTCGAAGCCTCAATAGCTTGCTTAAAATCCAGCTGTAGTGAGGCTTACTAACAACCTCCCAGTAGCTTTCTGATTTGAAACAGTAAGCCTTTATCCAAGCTATCCACAATGAACCTGCATTAGCTAGGATATTCCTAATTAGCATCAGGCAGCATGATTTACTCCATAGAGCAAGGTCCTTGAGTCCCAGTCCACCCTCAAACTTCAAGGAGCAGATCTGACTCCAGCCTACTCGGGCTCCTCTAGCCGGGGTGTCACACCCTTTCCAGAAAAAACGCATGCAAAGTCTCTCCACTTCCTTAATAATCCCTTTAGGAATGATAATCTGCCTACACCAAAAATTAAAGATGCTGAAGAGAACAGATTTGACTAACTGCAATCTTCCTCCAAAACTAAATTTTTTGCTGGACCATTGCCTCAATTTGTCCTTAATTCTTTCCAGCAGAGCAGTGCAGTCTTTACCAGTGAGCTTGCGGGTAACTAGGGGAACCCCTAGGTACCTAACAGGGAGCTGAGCCATTCTAAACCCAGTGGCTAACCGGATCTAATCGAGAGTAGTTTGACTCAAGCCACAAGCAAAGAACTCAGTTTTCGAAACATTTAACTTAAGTCTTGAAAGTTCATAAAACTTTTCTAGAGTACTTTGAACACCAAGCACAGACTCGAGGGACCCATGACAAAAAACTAGAAGATCATCCGCAAAGCAAAGATGGGTTAGTTGAATTCGTTTGCATTTTGGGTGAAACCGAAAGATTCCCTTCATGGCTGCAGCATTGAAAAGAGATGACAAAACATTTATCACCATGACAAATAGGTAGGGTGATAAGGGATCACCCTGCATAACCCCTTTTGCACCCTTAAAAAACCCCACCAAGCTGCCATTCAGTGAAACAGATACATGGGTGTAGTAATGCATGTTCTAATCCAATTGCAGAATTTATCAGGAAGTCCCATGGCTCCAAGAACAGACAGCAAAAATTCCCAATTGACAGAGTCAAAAGCCTTCTGGAGATCTATTTTGATAGCACATCTAGGAGATAAACTCTTCCTAGAATAACCCTTAACCACTTCCTGTGCTAATAGTGTTATCCACTATATTCCTACCCTTAACAAAAGTTGTCTGATTGAGGGAAATCATTCCAGGGAAGTATGGGATAAGTCTATTAACAAGAATCCTGGTTATAGTTTTGTATACCACTGAACAGTAAGATATGGGTCTAAAATCTTTAGCCAAGCAAGCATTTAAAGACTTAGGAATCAACACCAAAGCTGTAGAATTAAAAGCAGGCAGCAAGCAAGAAGTATGAAAAAAGTGTCTCATAGTAGAAATAAAGTCATTACCAACAATTTCCCATGTAGCCTTAAAGAAACCAGATGTAAAACCATCTGGACCAGGGCTTTTATCCTTCCCCTGTCTGAATAAGGTCTTCTTAATCTCCAAATCACTCACCTCCTTGGTAAGAACAGAATCTGCTCCCTCAGGTAGAGAATACCCCAATAAATCCTTCAAAATCTCAGTAGAGCAACCCTTGACCAAAGGATCAGTTGAGCCAATAAGATTCATGAAAATAATCACTAACTCAGCAGCCATTCCTTCAAAGGAATCATGTCTCAGCCCATCCTCACCCACGACAATCCTGATAGTATTTCTTTTCTTATTGGCCTGAGTCCTTTGATGAAAAAACCTGGTATTTAAATCACCCTCTTAGCCAGTGTGCTTTTGCCTTTTGTTTGTAAAAATCAGATTCTGCTAGCTCTAAATCCATTAATTCAGCATGAATCCTCTTCTCATCACCAATCCTCCTCTGATCATGGTTAGCCAGATTAAAAATCTGAATCTGTTCTAATTCAGCCCTTTTGTTGCTAACCCTGCCAGAGATATCAGAAAAATATTCCTTATTGAAATTCTTTAGGATAGGTTTGAGCCTCCTCAACTTTAGGAACAGGCAATTCATGGCATTATCCCCACGAGAACCCTGCCAAGAATCTCTAACAGTAGCCAAGAATAGCTAATGGCCAGCCCAGCAATTAAAAAATTTAAAAGGCCGAGGCCTCTTGGTCAAACCTCTTTTATGAGTCCACAATAACCCGAGACAATGATCTGAAACGCCCTGAGCAGAAAATTCAGCAAAAGATTCTGGGTGATCAAACAACCACTGATTATTTACTAAGATCCTGTCCAATTTACGCGCTAAATACGAATCTTCTTGTTTATTGGACCATGTGAATAATGGACCAAGAAACGGATGATCCATAAGATCAAGACTCTCCAAGCAGTCTTGAAATTCTTTCATGTCTGGGGTGCAATGAATACCCATTACATCAAAGTCAAAGCTCTCCTCTGCTTTGGCTATGATGTTGAAGTCCCCCCAAGGATCCAAGAAGAGGAACCAATATCATTTCCAACAGAGTTTAAATGGTCCCAAAGTCCTCTTCTTGCAACTCCACTATTGTTACCATAGATCGCAGTTATAAATGTCGTTTACCCATCAACTGTCCCCCAAAAAGTAATAGCTTGATCATGTTTTCTCAGTATAGAAAACAACAAGTGCTTCCTCCAAAAAATCCACAGTCGACCCCCATCAACTAAGTCATAATTTTCAGCAAAATGCCAGTCAGCAGACATAGCAGAGCATAAACTGTCAGCATTGTCCCTCTTAATACGAGACTCCATCAAACAAATAACATCCACACCATATTTATCTAATCTTCTAAACACTTTCAGCTGTTTAAGGGAGTTGTTAAACCCCTAACATTCCAAAATCCTATTATCATTAAGAAGGGATGGATTACACAGCACCACCAGCACCCAAATTCACCATAGCACTCTTGGCTTTCTCAAAATGGTCTTTCTTTTTTGACTTTATTTCATTAAGCAACACAGCCACCCCCAAGGAAGCAACTCTAGTTTTTCTAGGAACTTCAGCCACACCTTCAGCTTTGCTTGAAGAGCCAACAATTTTTTTTTTGATAGGAATAGTAGGCCTCACTAAAAACCCCCTTCATGATTAACGAAACTTGAAAATAGTTCCTTAATCAGCGGAAGGAGGAAAAGAGTGCCCTAGGAATTCATTAATCTTAAAACATTACAAAGTAATACAAAGTCTAATCTCCCTCCAGAGATAAAAAGCCAAAAGAAACAGCCCTTAACAGAACATAATTCTCAACCAATACCCGCCTTAGCTAGAACATCCGCCTCTATATTGGCTGTTCTACTAACCCATCTAATAAGACCTTCATAAACACTAAGCTTTTGAATAATTTCCTTAACAACTTGAACATAAACGACAGGACAAGAACCAACATCCTTGACCCAACCAATTGCCACCTTACTATCACTCTCGATAATCAATCTCTCTTTAAATCTGTGGCGAATAGATTCATAATAATATAACCCCTTTAGGATAGCTTTCAATTCCATCAAAGTTGGAGGTCCTGGACCAGCAGGGTCTTTGAAGGAGCCAAGAATCGAACCAGAAATATCTTTCAGAACACCACCTAAACCACTCCTCTTCCAATCACTAGAAGTAGCCGCATCCACATTAAGTTTAATAAAACCCTTTGGAGGAGGGGACCAAGGAACCTTAGTTGAAATCCGATTAGTATGAGACGAGCAAGAATCCACTAAGGACGGGTCGGCAATAAGAGCATCCTTGGAAATAGAAATCTGAGTTTCCCTAGCTAGAAACCATGAAGCAAGCCTGCACCTTGCTAGAAAGAATATTTCTGCTCGATCAAATTTCCCTCCTTCAAACACTATATAATTCCTAGTTTTCCATATTGTCCATAAGACCACTCCAGGGATAAATGACCACATCAGAGAGTTGGCCTTTAAGTTAGTCCATGCTACTAGGAATTTTTTTGCATCTTCATGAAAAACAGACTGAAAATTCCAATAACCCATGAATTTAGTCCATATTGGTCAAACAACCGAACAGGAAAAAAATAGATGAGATGAAGACTCTTCTTCTAGATTACAAAAAGGACACATAGAATCATTTATGCCCTGAACACCTCTCTTAACCAGAGCTGTCTTCACTGCCAGCTTCTTTAAGATAACTTGCCAAAGAAAAGTCTCCACTCTTGGAGGCAGCAGGCCCCTCCAAACAATAGATTTCCAAAAATTAACTTCCTCCAAATCGGAAATACCCGAGTAATATAGATTGGCACATGATTTAACATTGAAAACCCCTTCTCCATTCCCCTTCCACAACAGTCCATCAACAGCATCCGCAGAAACAGAAAAATCTGAAATAACAGCCATCAAGTTTGACCATTGTTCAAATTCCCAGTCATTCAACTCCCTTCTCAACTGGACGTTCCAAAACCAGCCCCCAGAACTGTACTCCCCAAACTGAAATAATCTTCCAGTTTTGTTCACTGCAATAGAGAATAGTCTAGGGAACATGACCATCAAAGGATGATCCAATGCCCAATTGTCTTGTCAAAACCAAATATTCCTCCCATTGCCAATTTTATAGCTATAATTGCTTCTGATACTACAGCCCATCGAATCAGCTTTAAAATGATTATTCACCAAAGATCTCCATATCCAAGAAAATTTAGGAGAAACCTTACTGTCAAACTACATCAATGAAGAATCCATTTTGTATTTAATGCAAATCATTTCCCTCCAAATCGCCTTCCTCTCAATAGCAAACCTCCAAGCCCACTTTTCCAATAGAGCCCTATTCATCGTATTTATAATAGGAACTCCCAAGCCTCCTTCAATTTTTGGTTTACAAACGCTGGT